GAGTGGGCTGCAACGTGGAGAAAATGCAGCAGTGTGGGAGGACGTACGGCGTAGAAGGAGAACACTGAGATCGGGATGAAGAAGGCTCCGATGATCATGCTCCCGAGGATGAGGAGCTTCATCAGCCAGAAGCTGTTTGCGTGTGTTTGTGCATGTGTGAGTGGAGGAGAGAGGTGGGGAACAAAGAGAGAGACAAGAGACATATATATGTGTGTGTGTGTGTGTGTGTGGGATCAGGATGGCAGGCGGCCGAGAAACATCGGAAGAAGATCGGCAGGAATCATACCCATTCTGGATGCCGGCACGAGGGTCGCGGGACGACTTGACCCCCAGCAGGAGGATGCTTTGAAGGAGGTGGAAGGCAAAGAGGGCCGCTAGAACCCGAAGTAGGGCCAGTCGGCCGCCCGGGACACAGTCCCACAGCTCGGATGCGGAGGATTGAGGGTCAAGCAGGGCCCATTCGGCAGCCGAAGGGGAGGCTCCATTCGGACCGAGTGGGGGGTACCGGGCGCAGCGCTCCCCATAGAGTGGCAGGCTGCTGAACAGATTGTCCAGCCAACCGGTCGATTCGGACGACCAAGCCACGGTGGATGCCGCGAAGAAAAGCACCTGTGGCGAGAGAGGGTCAGTGAGGGGGATGGCGGTTGGGCTTGGCGCGCAGGTACGCAGGGAAAGGGGGGGCAATCCGCACGGCATAGGAAATCCGAGTGGCAAGCGAGGAGCGGAAGCCGGTGACACGCGTGCACGTAGCGCAGATGACCGACGAGCAGCAGCAGGCCACCGACAGGATCGACCACGCAGTGCCAATGACCGTCGATAGGCCCATGCAGGTGAGGAGAAGGCTCATGGCGTCGGTGGGGGGATCAGCAACGCCGGCGGGAGTGTCGGGCTGCGGGCCCACGAGAGAGAGAGAGAGAGAGGAGCGGGGCGGCGGATGGGCAGGAGGAGGGACAGGCCAAAGGGGGAGCAAAAGAGGGGGGTGCCAGACAGACGGAGGGAAGGAGCGAGGGAGAAAGTGTCAAACTGAGGGGGAGGGGGAGGTGGATGCAAGCGCGGCCCTGCGGAGGGCCGCCACAAGGCAAACCGTGTCCCGATAAAACCCCCCGGCCCCCCCCCCCCCCCCCCCCCCCCCCCCCCCCCCCCCGATCGAGCGCCTCACTCCCGGGGGGCGCGAAAGGGAGGGGCGGAGGGGGATCCCGAGGCACGATCGCGCGTCTGATCGTCCTTGTTCTCCGTGCTTGCTGGGGCATGGTCATCCTCCTTCCGGGATGGGTGCGGCC